TGGTTTGTATCACGATTGCACGAGAACTAGACATGCATGTCCTCAGTCAATATCACAGATTCGATATAAAAATAACAAAAAGTAAGTAAAGCTTCCCAGTCAACAGTTCACCTGGCCAAAACTTCAACCCACCCTAGCACATCACTTTCAATAAATAGACTGCAAAGCAGAACGGTGGACGTATTCTTGTTTTAGAAAAACGTAACGAAATAATTGATATGATCCCAAAAAGAGTTGGGTTTCGACCTCAGTATGAAAGAAGCAGCGCGAAGCACAGTTTGTGATTTTCCAGTTTCGCATTGCCTCTTCCATTAACAAAACGCACGAGCAATAGAAATTTGCAAGAAAATATGACCCCTTCCTACAAATTTACACAGTACTCCCAAGTCTAGGTAGAAAAATATATACAAAACGGATAAGAACTAGCCAAAAGAGGCTTACCCCTCTACATAAAAGTAACAACACCAGCCATTCGGTCGAGAACAAAGCAGCATTATTTCTTTTTTTAAAAAAATAGAACACTCAGCCTAAGACCATGTACATAAAAATCCCAAACAACAAATCATTAATAATATATGACATTTTGTCCACGACCTGGTGGCTGGAATAACGATACAACACAATGGACGGCTGCCCATTTAAGAGCTTTAATGCAGTCCAAAGTGTTGAAGAGAAAATAGAACCTATTGAAGTGCGTCTCCAACACCACCATTTTAAAAATATTTACACGCCTTTGTACAGTTCTGAAAATACCAATATACCACATACACTCTCATACAGTCTTCCCACCTAGTGCCAAAATTAAAATTCAAACCCAAAAGTATTTGTAGTAAATTGAAACAATTACCCCTATATAGAACGAGCAACGTTGCTCATTAAAACATAATTTGCGGTACACTTTACGGAATTTATGTCAGTCTCGGGTGCAAAGGAATCCGTCATCACTCTATCCCAACAACGTTAAGCTTGGAGACGACTGTGAATGCTCCAATGAGAAGGTCAACGTGGGTCAATGGGCGCTGCTTGCGCGGGTCGAACGTCGGGTCAAGGATGACTGGCGCAGGTGGCTGCCCGACCCGTCCAAGCCACCCGGCCAGGTCCCTGTCATTGGTCATACAATCAGGCACTTTCTCGGGTCACATCATGTACTTTCACCCGCCTCACAATGAGTCAGTCAAGAGGCCCAAGGAGCAGACTGAGGGTACCAGCTAAAAAACTCCATTTACATAAAGCCGAACGCTCACCTCGGTCTGCCATGGAAACCAGCACAATGCTGGATGACGGTAAAGAACGAGTCATAAGATTCTACAGGAATTTAAGCGCATTTCCCTCTAGAGCCAACGCCGCACTGCGACGGCTGCAGACGGGCCTTTGCTTTTCACTATCCGAGATGATCTGCAGAAAAAGTCAAAGTCCTCGTGGTTGTCTGAGTCAGCTGCAGCGTCATGCTCCGTCTGGGAACTTGGTGTTCACAATGCTCAGGTTTTCTTGCTTTCGCGAGCACCTCCCATGCCACGACGGGGCCGCTTGGCTCGGCTCGCCCGGATAAACGACTCGAGATAAGAATATGTGGGTCGGAGAGCTTGCTCCACCGTCATGATGTCTGTGTCGAACACGCGCCGCGAAATTTGGCATCGTTTTAGTTTAAATACATTTTTCAGTAGTAAATTTTAAGAGGAATTAACTACGGGAGTGAAGAGTCTATATTCAAGAGGGAAGAGTCATTTTCAGGAACTATGCACAATAGATGACACGGATCTTTCAATAATAAATAAAGAATAAACAAGATAAATAGTCATACCTTCACTAAAACCCATTCGAAACTGTTATCTCGCTAGTTTTTTTGTCAGTCAACTACACTCATCCAACAGCTTGTCAAGTTGGCTGAAGCGTTACGTTCTACATGAGAGTCAGTGTGTCAGCGCCCAAGACTTGCGTGTTTCTTGTCGGGACTTTTGTCGGGTATTGTCACGAGTCTAGAAGTAGTACACACAGCATCAATTAAGTACAAAATTGCATGGTTGTTACCTTAACCGGTCCAATTATAGTGAACAGATATCAAAACATTCATGGTTGAAGAATCTCATCCGGAAGTACAAATAGGTAATCCAATGAGGGGTGAAGGCACAACACTGAGGCACTGCACTTTATCCGGGAGTATATTCCTTGCTGCACTGACACACATTCACTCGCGTGCGATCAAGCCACCACACAAGCCGGCTCACGATCCTCTGTCTCCGGCCTTGCTCGCTCTCTCCATCTCTCTCTCTCTCTCTGGCACACCCACTCGCTCACACTCCCACAGATCCCCCCCACCCCTCCCCCAACACACACACACACATACACTCACATTTAAACACACAGTCACTGCTTGCAGTCCAGCTCTGCGGCCGAGGACGGTAACGAGAAGAACTTGATCTCAATGTCGCGGTGGCCGTTGTGCGAGGTGACGATCTCTGAGGAGACCCCCAGGGCCTGGTGAGATGGCGGGGACCGCCGGTCGCTCTCCTGGGAGTCGCTGCTCTCCGAGAGCTTCCTCGAGGGCGATGGTTCACTCCAGCTCCGCCGCAACAGCAGGTCCGTCGGTCCGCGCGCTCCGACGGGGCCGAGGACGTTTGCAGGGGGTCTCTGGGGCTCTGCGAACGACCGCGTCGAGTCCGAGATGAAGAGCGGGAAGCTGGACAGGTGCTGCGGCTGGGGCTGCGGCGTTAGGAAGGGGGAGTAGCAGTTCTGGTCCACGTCCCAGATGAGGCCAGCCGGGTCACAATACCGGCACTGGCACAACAGCACGCCCTCATCCGTCGAGTCGTGCTCCTTCACGTCGTCAAAGTCGTGGTGCAGCTTGGGCTCGTCGGCGTGCTCCACTGCCTCCCGGACCTCGCCGCCGAAGCTCTTGAGCGACACGGTGGGCACGGGTGGGGTCGGCGCCGAGGTCGGGGTTGGCGTGTCGGCCGCCAGCTGCGGCGGCTTCCTGTCCTTCTTGCGGCGCTTCCGCGGCTTGATGATCCTGGGCAGGCTGTTCTCCGAGTGCCCCGAGCTCTCGTCGCTGGCGATGCTCAGGCTGTCGCTCGAGGGCTTACAGGCCCCCATGGGCCCCATGGGTCCACAGGGCGGGGGCAGCGGGCCCAGCGGCCGGTGACTGCGGGGCCCGCCCTTGCTGCCCGGGGGCGCGCCGCCAGCGCCGCCCGCGCCGGCCGGGGGGCTGCCGTGGAGGCCGTTGTGGAGGCCTGCACCGCCACCACCATGCTTCCGGTTGTTGTACCGGCCGGCTAGGATGAGCGGCGCGCCCTGGGTGTGAATGGCGAGGCGCGACAGCGGGGACCGCGGCCCGCCGGGACTCTGGGGCTGCGCAAGCTGCTGCTGAGGCTGCTGAGCAGGCTGTTGTTGAGCAGGCTGTTGCTGCTTGTGGCGCCGCGGCTGCACCATGGAGATGAGGGGCAGGCCGGCCCACTGGTGGCCCTGGTGCGCGGCGCGGTGGGCATCCTGGTAGCGGTAGTCCTTAGAGATGAGGCACGTGCCGATGTAGCGCTCCACTTGCAGGCCGCCCTGAGAGGCAGGGCTCATGGTGAGGAGCGAAGGCTATCCCATGGCGGGGCTCATGGCGCGGAGCGAGGCTATCCCATGGCGCGGCGCGACCCGGCCTCCGCACGCAGACAGAACTGACGCCAGACTGGCGCGCGGCGGCGCGGCTCGGCCCGGCCCGAGAGGGGCAGCGAGAGGGGGGAGAGAGCGGGACCCCCACCACCGCGCCGCGCCGCGCCGCCGGGACACGGGCCCCCGCGGCAACTGCAGCTAACCCAAATATGAAACGAGGTGAAACTGCACTCGCCGCGCTGCACCAAAGGGATGCTCAAGCTTGCCCTGTGCTAGCCCAAGGGACCGAGTCTTGAGATCGACCACTGGCAACTGGCAATACAGACTGGAAATTATTGCTTCTGACCGAGGCCACCATCACCGGCAGGTGACAAACGTGGGGCAGCTTGTCGAAACCGACCGAGCAGGTGAAAGGAGGAGGGGGTGGTGGAAGTGCATGTGCCCTTGCCCAGAGCGGCAGGAAGTACGGCCATTTGCCTCTCAGGCGGTCAGGCGGACAGGCGGGTAGAACGTCCGTAGGGCCCCCCGCCCTGCCCCGCCCTGCCCCGCCCTGCCCTCGAGTGAGAGGAGTGGGCGTACACTTTCACTCCGACTCGGACCCGGCTCGACACGGTCCCGCGCTGTCCGGCCCGGCTCGGCTCGGCTCGGCTGCTCACGCCACGGCAGAAGCTCTCCCTCCTCCCACTCTTCCAACCCCGCTCTCCCCCCGCCTGCTCTTCCGCTGCAGAAAAGTGAAAAGGGAAAAGCAGGCAGCTAAAGCGCCATCAGGTAAGACGTCGATGAAAGAGAAAGAAACAAAAAACAACACACTCAAATTACGAGGCGTTTTATCTAAACAGCAAACGCTATGCGCCAAGGACGTGCGACGCGTCGAGACACGCATACACCATCAGGACAACAACAATAGGACAAAGTGAGAGAGGGGCGGGACAAACGTCCTCACCTTGAGGGAGTACTACAGGCACCCGAGGCCCGAGTGGTTTTAATTCCGAACTCTCCCGCATAAGACAGAGGGGCGGAGCGCGCATTCGGGAGAAAAAACACACGGAAAACAAAACGACCGACCTTCGTGCAAGGCTGATGTTATGTGCAGGACGACGGCTCCCCCAGATTCTCCCACTGCAGTGAGCGTATGCGCCAACAGGGTCCGAGTCCACATCAAGGTGTTATTGCTGCAGTACGTCGCGCCCACACGAATGCACAGGGGCGCGCGCGCGCACACACTCACACACATAAATACACACACACACCCAACGCGAGTGGCGAACACTTTCACTGGGCCGCTGCGTCACAAGTTCATCCAGAATCCGCTTCAGAGATTCCGGAATGGCAACTTTCCGCGCACACGCGCACACACACACACACACACAGGCGCCTTCACTCAGACACACCACAGCCAGGAGACAGGCGAACCCAGCTCATAAAAGTGTCCCAACCAGTCCGCGCCAATACCAATTAACGAACTGACAGACAGGAAAAAAATATATAATAAAAGCGAAAAACCTTCACCCGATTCCATCTCTTCCGATTACACTAAGATAATCGCGAAGCAAGCGCCGCAGGGCGCGCGGGGGTAATAAACATCCAAAACAAAATCATCAATTCAACACCAGGCCGACGTGGGAAAAATTATCCGCGCATATACACCTACTTTCCTTACACGGTCCCCAATCATTCATTCATTCAACGAAACCGCCCATCTCGAGGCATGCGTTGAATTAAACATTTTCGCACCGACGCCTTTCCCTTTGCATGCATGGCAAGTCACTCTAGCATCGTGTTGTGTCTGTCTGGGGCGGGG